GCTGTCACACATTTGTGCAGGCTCCCAGTAAAATCTTCAAAGCAAGAATATATTTAAGTCCATGATCTTGCCTAGCACCAATTAATCCTGTAACTGCTCTATGCCTCTGGAAAGTGTGTAATCTGCCTGTGCCTCCAGTTCCTCCCCCACTCCCCTGTGACACCTACCCTGCTCTGTATTAATGCATTATCATCTCCAGATGTACATATGAACACATCTGAGTTTCAAAAGTGATCCACGAAGAGAGGTGATGACAAAATTATGAGTGAATTATCGTCAGCTGATTCCTGCAGGCTTCACTGAAAAATCCTGAGCCCGTGTCAATAAAGCACATTTCATCTGAGGGCTTTTCTCTAACCAGGTGTGTAAAATGACAGCCAGGTGTGGCCGAGGAGCCAGGCAGAGGATGAGCCCATCAGATGGAGCACGCTGGAGAGGAGGACACCTTGCCAGACACATCCTCCCTTACAGGAAGTGGAACAGGTTCTCCAGTACCTAAAGCAGACTTGATCTCATTCAAAGTTAGACAATGCTTAATCAGCTTCTTCGATGTGACTTACCTGGGTGTAATCAGGAATCAGAGTAACAGAACCCAGCAAAGAATTCTCTATTAAAAAGACACTGAGAATATACAAACAGACACTAAATGGATACTAAACAGAATATTTCCCTCTGCCTTGAGACCCATTTCAACAAAATATTACAGAACTAACCCAGGAGAAAATAAAGATATCCAGTGTGAAGCATTCATACATAAATGTTTAATATGCAAGAATGTAACAGCAGAAAGCACGTGGCACCTTTGGAGGTCTCCTGCTGGCAATGAATGTAAGAGGGATTCTCAATCATGTCCTTAAGAGGCCTTGTCCACAAATGTGCTGTTCAGTCACAAGCCACACATACCTGTCACAGAAGCAGGGAACCAACCTGGCGACCAAGAGCCCAACTCAGGAAATTATCATAAAGGTCCCTGTAGCCCAGGTGGAAGCCCAGTCCCTCACCAGCACACCCACTGCAAATGCACCTATTTCCACCCCAAAACCAGACATTTCTGGGTCAGTCAAAGTCTTTGGTCTGGACTGTACATTTTAGGAACAAAAAGTCAACATCTCTATTTCCCAGAAGACACCAAACACCCACCCTTGTGCAGTCCCGGGGAAGACCTGCAAAGTTTTGTAAGGGCTCCTTTTAGTTCCACTTTTCAATAAACCATCATTAAACAGCAACCACTGGCTATAACACATGGTACTACCTAAAAGCTAGAATTCCCAGCTCTTTTTGTGAAGCATGAAGTATCCCTGTGTCCTGGTTTTGTATTTTTAACACGAATTGTAAAGAGAAAATAATTAAAATAGCAAGAACAGCCACCCAGGGAACATACAAAACCAGCTTCCAGCCTTTGTTGATTGAGAGAGATAACTTCTTAAAGCTCTTGTTGCCCCCCTGCCCCTCAATTAGCTGTGGGGTTTTTTGTCACTGAATCCAGATTTAACATAACAAGCCCCAGACCTAGGAGCTGTTCAATTCCTGACACTGGTTGTGGCTTCACTAATGTTGCTTCCACCTCTTCTTCAGCTCTTTCTTGCCCTTGAGGTATTTTTTGGTGACATTTCCATGAGATCCACTTCTAACCTTCCTCCCCCTTGAAAACATACATAGAAATACGAATGGCAGGCATGCAATCTGTGCAGAGACACGGCACAGAAACTTGCACCTTGCACTCTTTTTCTATGTAAATAATGCAAGGATCCTGCGGGAACATGCCAGGGATTGGAATTTTTAATTAATGGGTCTCTTTAATGTGCAAATCAGGAGCAGATTGCAAATTCTGACTTGCATTGATTATGAAAAACATTAATTGAACGTGCAAGACCCCAAACAGAGGCAACATCTCTAGGCCTGGACTAGACTGGAAGATAGGGTGCAAGAGAATACAAATGTATCTTGGAGAAACAGACGACTCCAGGCAGCAGCACCTCAGAAACGTGAGCTGTGGGAGTTCACATGTGCAGTGCATTAAACATGAAGCATATGCACTGCATTCAGAGGGCAGCCACTGTGATTTCACTATTAAAAACCACTCAGACTTTCTCCACGGATGCAAAACAGGAATAAACATGAGCTCCATGACCACAGTTTGGTCTCCAATTTGTATGTAAAAAGGGTGACAGGAAAAAAAAAAATCTGGAATATAATTAAAGATTAAAAAAAACAAAACAGAACAAACCCACACAAAAAAAAAAAGGAAAGAAAAAGTAAGACAGTGCAAACAAAGCAATGCTGTCTCTTTAAACAGAAATTCATCCTATATAAATTATAGCCATAAACTTTTCCTGCAGTGCAGCCTAATTAATTCTTGTTCTATACACAAAGGGAAATGCTGGGTGACAAATGGGTGTGAAGCCTGAAAGCTGCCAGGTCTGCAAAACATTTTCTACTTCAATTTATAAGCAATTTTGCAGTAAATCATCCACCAGAACCTGAGATCTCAGGAACCCAAGACTGTCCAAGGCACGTTGTATCATTAAAAAAAAATAAATTAAAAAAATTGAAAAAGATTACAAAAATAATAAATTAAACACTTGAGTTTTGTAACCTCCAACCTCAAAATCTGGAAAACAAGCATGACCTTACCATTTTCACTCACATTTGGCTCTAAAACTGCAAATGTATAGGACCTTGCTGTCCACTCTTTAACACAATTCTACTCAAACCCTCGGGAATCCCACCACCAGCTGCACTGAGGGTTGTCACAAGTGGGAGACACCAAAGAAGCAAATACACTAAGGATCATTTTCCATTTCCAAAAAATTCATCTTCCTGTGAGCACAGAGCAGAAATTCCATGAGCAATGGGAGGACTTGGGATAAACTACTGAAAGCATTCTGGGGCAGCTTTCAAAGAGACACGAGGGACTGGCCCAGGACCCCAGAGAGAGCTCTCCCTGCCCTCCTGCCCTCAGCAGTGTTCACCCAGAGTCTGGATTTCTGGCACCAACTGCTTTGTGCAACCTGGACACCAAATCATTTCCTCCTGTTCAGTGAAGATGACTAAAGCATCCCACACTTATTTTGTGGATTTAGAAAGAAGTGCTGAGGCTTCCCTGAAAGGAAAGTACTATCCAGTCCAAAACAGTGTCAATGCCACAATGATCCCATATCCTGTCCAAGACTGAAGCACATCACATACAACGGAACCACCTCAACGTTCAGTATTTACCCAGTCCTGTCTTCCACTCATCTTTAAAATTCCACATGCACAGTTCTTCTAAATTTCCCTGTTTGGGGAATGGGATCCTACCCATAAGCTGGTAACACAACTGGGATGAGAACTCAGGAGTCCAGAAATGTTTACCCAGCCCACTACATCACTGTTCAGAATAGAGTAAAAAAGTTTATTTTTATAGAAGCCACTAAAGCACTTGATCATCTAAAAATGAGACTTCTATTGGAAGCTGATTTATAGTGAGATTTTTTCCTCCCTCATAAATAAAGCTGCATCAATTAATGAAAGAACTTTAAATATATGATGATGTGTATTTTCAGAACACACTTAGCTTCACCTCCTGAACTGAGGGGTCACAGCCCTGCTACCCAAGCAGCAGCTCTGTGTGAAGATGTAACACAGCTCAGACTGCCCACGGGGTAAAGCTCTCACTGTTGGTTAGATGTGAATCCCTCTCACAGGGCCTAACATAGCAAAATGAGGGAGAAATGCCACATAAAACACATAAAACCAACATAAAACCAGCTACATTCCCAGTCTTTCATATGACCTGCATGAAGTTTACTCCTTATTTCATGCTTCATGCTTGTATCTTCTGGAAAGAGCATCTTTGCAGGGCAGTGAAAGCTGCACTGGACAATAGTGTAGCTCATCAAAAATGACTAATTATTGTAACCTACTTTATTGTAGAATTACAGATTTAACTAAAAAAAAAATAGAAATAAAAAAGGAATATAACATTGGTCCCTATTGAACACCGGAAAACACTAAACAAGTGTAGGAGTAGCAAAATGTTCCTGAATTCATTACTTTCCACCTGTCAGTCTGAGCACTTCCTCTGCTAACTTTGCCCAGGTCACTCCAGCTTTATTTTCTTGCTGAATTCACTGATGAAATACAGAACACAAACCCAGGCTATGGGCAACATCAGAGCATGCTGCTGCAACTGTCCTGCCCAGATCATGAACAGAGGATGGGGAGAGAATCACTGAGCAGTTATCCACAGTGGATTTTCCTTTAGCCTTCTGGACAACTGAGAGATTAACCTCTCTGCTGTACGGTGTACAGTATTATACTCCATGTTCTTGGATGTATTTTGCTGATGGGAAATATCAAAATGTCAACCATTGTTTCTGTTAAAGGTCTTTAATGATATTGCATTTTAGACCTGTAATGAAACATGGTGCTCGATGCAGTTTGTAATGCATCTCATTAAATACATTAATGACATGCATTTCACTGAAAGGTCAGCTCAGTATTGTTGGGAGTTTGCCTTTTTTGCCTTAATCACTTAATTTAAAGCAGCAGAGTTAACTTTAAACTGTAAAGTCTCTCACCTGCTGTAACTCCAGATAAGCTGATTAGCTACCACCTTCAGATCAGGTGTAAGCTGTTAAGATGATAATCAGAACTTGGTGTACGGGCAAGAATCAGGGTCAAGTTTGATGATGGTGAAAGTTCTTAATCCAGTTTTAAGATTTTTTTGTGCCAGCCCAGGCTAAAATTTCTCAACACGCAGGTACCACTACAGCATGTACAAACTGGCACATGGTGTGGCTGAATGGATGCATGACCACAGCAAACCAGGTGGTTCAGATGATGTCTCTGATGTTTAGCATGAAAGGCTAAAGAATAAGGCAACACAAACCAACAGCTGATACCACAGAGACATGCAACTCAAAGCCCCCACTCTCCCGTTAGCACTTCCTCACACAGGCAAAACACACTGGCTACGGCAGAGTCTACCCAAAGTAGATAGATTGAAAAATTCTTACAGTTCTTGACAGCATTGTCAAATTCTTGTCCACCTTCCTTTCTGAAGACTGGGTAAGTATCTGGCTGTGGAAGCCGGTTGGCTGTTACGAGCGCCTTCTGTATCTTGATTCTCCCTTCCAATATCTGATCCCAAATTGCTTCATAACAAAGAGAAAATAAAACAGTTATTTTATAATGAAGTACCTCCAAGCTGAAAAGATATTTGCTGTTGATTTAACAACACGGGGCCTCTCCTTTGTGCTACATTACTCCTGGTTAGTGTAAATCTTTGCATGCACTGACCCAGTACAAAACTGGTACCAGGGGGTGTCTCTGGACAAAGCCACATCTCATCCTATGATCTTGAGTGTGATCCACAAAAAAAACCCATCCCTTTGCTTTACTGTTTAAAAGGACATTCTGCAAATGGAGGTTTGATAGTTTAATAGGACAACTAGGAAGAAATTGCATTCAGTATTACATTTTGAAAAGAAACAGAAGCGGTCCCAGCATCCCTGCACAGCACTACCAGTGCAGGAGTCCCCATCCTCACCACCACTATGAGTATATTCAGCACTGGTTCAATTAAGCCAGTGGATAAATACGCTTCATGAGATGAGATTTTGTGCCAGCAGTGACACCAGTTTGCACAGCAGATTTGGCAGAACATTTGCAAATCACGAGGGCTGCTGTAGCACGCGCATGCAGTGTGCTAACAGCACGTTAACATGCTGAAGTGGTTCCTAACATGGCCAGTCTCTATAGTGTCAGCAAGGTGAAAAGTCTTGTCAAAATACAAAGCAAACGTGCACAAACCTAGCTGGTTCTTCACAGCTTTTCCTTTTTCTACTTCTTCAGTGTCTTGTCCTTTTGAGAACGTCATCACCCCCCCATCTTCTTCACTGTCTTTGGAGTCCTTTACATTGTCATGGTTTTCACTCCCATACTCCTCCTCATCAATTCCTTCTTCCATGCTGGCATCATCTTCATCTTCCCCCATACTGCCATTATCTTCCCTCTCACTGCCATCGTCTTCATCTTCTCCCTCACTGCCATCATCTTCATCTTCCCCCTCACTGCTTCCTACATCATCCATTCCCTCTGCAAATTTCTCAAAGTCTGTGATATTCTGGAAACTGAACTTTGGTGCCTTGGCCTTGACAGATGGATCTGTCTCTTCATGGTCTTCCGAGTCATCCTCCTGGTCACTGCCAGCACTGCTGGGCTTCTGCTTCGTTTTACTGCCTAAGCTGTCATTGTCTTCTGAATCTTCCCCATCACTGTACCATTCATCTAATGCTTCTTCAGCTAATAATTAAAAGAGAAAGAAGATATTTATTTACCAGCAAAACGTGCCACTCTGCAGTATGCATCAGCAGCAGCTAGAGGTTTGGGCTACTTGAGCTCCAAATTCCATTTTATTTGTGTCTGATGTTACTCTTTGCTTTCGTTAAATAATGGAAACACAAGGCCATATCCACAAAGAGATCTCAGTCCAAATTCTCTGCAGCAATGACTGGTAGATCCATGGCTTAGCCTTCCCATGAAACAATGACATGATAAGCAAACAAGGTGGTCAGAACTTGCTATATGCATTCTTAAAATGAGTCTCTGTATATACCTGCAGATCCCAAGATATATATGTTTAAAAATGGGAGCTGTTTCTTTTTCTCCACACAACGTTCAGTCACTGTACTGAACCTCACCTTACACCCAGTCACACTCTTCCCTAAATCCATAGAAGTGGATCTCCTTTCTGGGATTTCCTCTTCCCTCAGGCCAAAAAATATGGCCTGAATTTCAGGAAGGCACTTCAAGAAGATGTACCTGTTTATTGCCCTGTAACAGGGACCTCAAGTTTGGCATCTCTGTTCAGATGACACTTAGTTAAAACATAAAATTTTGAGTAGTCTAGTGAAAAGGGAAAAGAAATTAGATTTCTTACCAGATCCTTCTTCAGACAGAGCATCTCCCCAGAGTTCTTTTTGCAGGGCTTTGCGAGATGTAGCTTTTCCACTGTACCTTTTATCAGCTTCCAAGAGAGAGGCTGAAGCTTTTTTCCGTATATTACCAACAGGGAAAATGTCATCTGCAGTTTCATCCTCAAATTTGTCAATCACTTTAGCAACTGTAGCTGTGGAAAAAAAAATGGAGGAGGCATGTCTAAACTGAACTGAATTTCAGACAAGAAAAACCAGCTGCAGGAAGGAGTTGTGGAAAAGTCCTCGTGCTCTACAAACAAAAATACACAGCAAAGGTGAGCTGGATGGCAACACAGCCTCACGTAAGAGTCTGGCTTCTAGGTTTTGAGAGGAGCAAGGCTCTTCCCTGCCTGGTGAAGGAAAGCCAGTACACTAATCTTCTGCAAAGGGGAAAAGGTTGCTGGGGAATCAAACACAGAGAAAAAGCCTCAAATCTGGGTTTTGTGCAGATCAGCACCAGTCTTGCTTAGGAAATACTGAGTACAGTAATAATTGATATCTAGCAGAAGAGTTAAGACAGCTCCAAGGGTATTTTTCAGAAAACATTTTGTGCCTTCTCTGTGGTCAGAGGTGTTCTGCCACCTGCCAGGTTAACCTTCGAAGGAGGAAGGGAGACGTTACACGAACTGCCCAATTCCAACCCCTCTCTCAGCACTCTGGACTTCTCCATATACAGGCTTGGTGCCACAGGGCTCATCTGCAATGCAGAGATGGATGTTTCTTAACAAACACCAAAAATCCTGTTGATTTTTTTTCTTTCTAAATTAACACTGTCTACATTCACACTTTCTTCCCTGCCTCTTCCTTATTTCAGAGCACCTGCAGAAAGCACTAGACAACTGTGCCTGTCCAAGCCCTTCCACAGACTCATGAGGGTCTCATGAGAAGCGCAGTCCTCCGGGTGGGGGACTCTGTAAAGCTGGAACACCTTCACTCACTTCACACTTACAGATTAAATGAGGAAAACTGCAATTCGGATGCACTTTGGCCTCTTGCTATATATATAAACCACATAAATACATAAACATTTTAGAATGGCTAAACAGAAAAATAATTTCATTGTGGTTATTAGTGTCTTTCATGCCCATCTTCTCCAGGACACAGGAATGGAGCAGTTCAGCAAAGAGAAGGCATCACACCATACTCCCTCCTTATTTCCATTCATGTGCAAGACACTCTGTATGCAAAATTACAGGGTTAGCTTTGTTCAACCAATTGGGTGATCCAACTGGCTGAACATCGCTAAGTGCTCTTTTAATGTGTGTTTGGAAATGTTAATGCCTCACGTATAGTGTTTACTTGAGGCAGGAGGGAAGCAAAAAAATTTCTTGCTCATAATCCAAGCAAAAAGATCAGGTCTAAATATAGTGACTCCAGCTACGAGAGGATGGGATAAGGAATAACTGGGCAAGGGGGGCAGATGCAGAATGACGGGTGGCACTCGATGGATCTTCTGGTATTCTCAGTCTTGGCACCACTGAAGTATGAAGTCTAAAACTAAATCGTGATTACTGAAATGGGAAAACACCTCTGCTGACTACATTCATTTCCTCAATGGTTACTAAGATGTTGCTTACAAGATACTATTGCTTTCACATATGCTCGTACAGAACCGGCACAACGTTTGCCATGAGGGGGGCTCAGTGCCTCCCAAAGCCAACCGCTGTCAGCGTGTGATGGTTAACTCGCCATCTCAAGAGGTGAGTGCAGGAACTGTGTGACAGACATGCCCCAGAGATGGGTCCTGCCCCACGGCTTGGCTGGTGGGGACTCTGCTCTGGAGAGGGTAAGGCAGGGAAACGGCAGGCAGAAGATGACCCCACCGCCTGTATGTCATGGGGAAAGGGGTGAATGTCTCAAAAAATCATAACCAGGGCAAAAAGAGCTTGATTAAAAATAGAAATTGATAACTGGCCACTGGTAAGCATCAAACAAGACGCGTGCAGTGCCCTGTGGCCTGCTCCGAGTGCTGGAGAGCGGGGTCAGCAGCACCACCAGCCTCCTCCGCGCTCCCACCGCCGCACGGGCCGTCCTGCACCGGCAG